TAGATTACTACCCTCTTTTTAAATGTTTTAACAATTCCAGAGATGGTTTAAAATCTGTTCTTTCAGTTTTGATGATATTTTCTTGTCTACCTGCAAGTGCAGGAAAATAATTTCTCTACCTCTGAAAGATTGTGTGTGTGTGTGTGTGTTTGCTTTCCGAATAAAAAACAAAATGTGGAATTTTGGTATTATTTTTCTAATAATTTCTGTTTAATAAATTTGATGCTCAAGTAAATCAATAAATATGCAAAGTAAAAATGAAAATCTATTTAAGCTAATTTAGCAAAAGTGTACTATAGATTAGATGAAAATTAAGTTATGCTTTTAAATAATAGTAATGAAAAGTGTATTTGCTACCAATGTAAGAAATTTTCCTTTTCAACCCCATTAGCAAGTGTATAACACTTATGAAAGACTTTAAAATAAACTAATCTGAGAGATTGCTAAAATATAAAGCCAGTAAGTTTGCAGCTTAATTTAGTTTATTGCAGCTGTGTCCTATTTAATAGAAAGGATATTGAACAAATCATTCTTCCTATTAATACTTAATTAATATTTAGATTTTTAAAAAATCTCTCACTTCCCCATCCCCCAATGCAAATGTACTTTCATAATAACTTTCCAAAGTAGCATTCTATCAATAATTTATTGAAAATATCAAAAATACCTCTCAAGTTACTGATAGATATTTTTTTTGAAAGAGAAAAATATTATTGGCATTATACACACTTCTAAAATGTTAGAATATCTAGAAATAAAATTTATATTTTTGGTAAAGTCATTTATAAAATTAAGTTATGCAACTGAAATAGTTAAACATGTTTAGTGCATTGATTGAAATCAAACTGAAAATTAAAACATTTAACACACTTCCATGCAGTATTTGAAAGTTAGTTACCCTAAAAATGCATACATACTGCAAATCAAAATAAAATCAAACTTTAATTTTTTTTTTAATCAAAAGTCATTAAACATTCTCTAGAAATTATTCATACCCTATTATTCTTAAGGGAAAATAAAAATTCTGATATAAATTAAAATTTTAACTTAAAAAAATTTGAAATTAGGAAACAATTTCAACCCTTAAATAAACATAAGCAGCACAAATTTCTTTTTCTTTTGCTTCTTTATAGAATAATTAAAATGTTTTGAGACTTCACCATCATGATCAAATACAAAAGAAAATTATGAGTCACCATAAATTTATATCAAATTATATTCTGAATATATTTCTCCAAAATACCTGCCTGCAAAGTTTTACAGGACATCAGATAATACCTGATAAAATAATCGAGACCTATACAGTGAAAGCATATAAATATCCAAAAATCTACTATAATTACTAATTCTCTAATCAGTAAATTACCTTAAAAAAATGTTTAAAATTATTTTTTTAAAATGTTGGAAATTCTTTAATGAACCAACTTTCTTTATGCCAATGAAACATCTACTGCAACATAATTAGTTCTGAAAAACAAAACTTTTTTTTTGTTCCTTGCTAGCTTAACCTAATAAGGATTTTACAAAGGAAAGTAAAATGTGAGTTGGCATTTGGATATATAGATATAAGCACATGAATAGAACAAAGATTTAAATTTCTACCAGAGAGCTTAATCATTAGCATATTAAAAATTGTATAAAAATATAATGGATGAGATTTTAGTAGAACTTATTCCCAGGTAACAATTATGAAGATATCCAAACTTAAGTAATAATTTAACAGTAATAACTGCTTAAATTTTTACACATGAAAAAATGCTCAGTTATTTCCTGTATGGGTCAGTGCATAGAAAAATTGTATTACCAATAAAAAAATTTTGTATGAACATAGGTAAATATCTACTAATTAAATTGTAATGACATCTATGTTGATAGATATCTGAAATTTGAGCTAAAAGGTTATTCTAGAAACCTTATTAGCTTAAAAGTAAAAAAAAAAAAATGAAAAAAAAATGAAAGAAACATTGTGAGGATGGAGATAAGCTGTAAAGGATACACCTGGTATTCAAATCGAAATAACTTTTGACTTTCGTTAATTTCATATACCTTTTTGCTACATACAATTCAAGTGTATTATATAACTGTTATATAGTCTTTTCCAAATAGACTCAATAAATAAATAAAAGGCAAGACCTGTACCTGCACTAACTAAATCAGATTCCAGTATATTTAGGAGAAAAAAAAACAGAATTATATAAATAGGAATTATCTAGCTTAGGAGTTGGCCACATCCAACCTGTGAAGAATTTTTGTATGGCCTGCCAACTTAACACCTGGACACTAATTATCTAATTAATTTGTGGCAAAAAATTATCAGTTGAGGTTAATCAGCTTACAATGCGACATTTTTTTTTAAATCAAAATTTAATTCCGAATCCATTGCTGACTTCTACAAGAAATATGTTTTGCCAAGTGAAATTGAAGTCTATTGAATAATGCGAAAATGATGGCATATTCTTGTAAACAATATTTTTTCAAAAAAATAGATATGCTAAAAGTCATTTAAGAACAAGATTGGATGATGACCACCTGTATGATGTTTTGCTCCCTGTCACTGATAAATATTTCAATTGATGAAGAGTAGCTCTCAAAAAATAAGCAAAAACAAGAGCCACATTAAATAATTTGCAATTTCTAACTGTATTTTGTTTGTAATAAGGAATTTGCATATTTTGTTGTTTGTGTTAGTTGTTATCCTGTTATTCCTGCAGTAAAATAAAGAACCTTTTAAATAATATAACATTAACTTCATTGTTTTTTTCTTTAAACCTCCAGACCAAGGCAGAATTCTGGACAAAGTGGTCTGAGGTCGAGACAATTTATTATAGTAAATTTGACATTGTACCCACCTCTCTCTGAGACATTGCATAGGTTTCTGGCCCACTCTCTCTAAAAGGTTGCTGATCCCTGATCTAGCTACTTCTAAAGAAACATTTTTAAATAGCAAATTTTTAATCTCAACAGAATTCTGAGTAGAACATAGAAAAGGTACCAAGAATAAAACAGGAATATTAAAACTAAACTACTTTCTTATTCCTGGCATCCATTCAACTGTACACTTTGGCCAAAGAAACATTAGAAACATATCCACTGACAAAATTTTTTTCAAGATTTAACATGTGTGGTATGGATTATCTGCCCTTGTACGTTTTCTGTATTGAAGTAGTTCCAATAAGACACACTTCATTCTAAGTTGAATAAAGCTTTAGTTAAGTTACACCTGCGTTCATTTTCTCACAACATGTAATATAAATAATTAATTGCTTCTCAAGATATGAAATTCAAGAATTCTTCTTAATGCCAGAAACAAAAGAATAGATTAAATACTTCACATTAATTATCTCTCATCTAAATTTTTATATAAATATATCAGGAAAATACAATGGCAAACAAATGATTTAAATCCAGTTTTTTATATATATATATATATATATATATATATATATATATATATATATAGGATAAAAAGAGCCAATTTAAGAACATATTTTATCAGAGGAATATCAGTGATAAAAATATTTTCTAGCATCTTCGCCCTAGAATCCAGAGTTGTTTTCAGCTACATAATATCCAATTTACATTTTTTTTAAAACCTCCATCTACTAAATCTGTGTTTATCACGTGAATTTTTGCATTTTCTCCAAATAGTAACAATACTAAGCTCCTGTGACTAATACCAGAACATGTAAATAAGATAGAGATCTAGTAAGCTATTTTTTTTTATGGTTTACCTTTAGATTACAGAAGTTTACATTTTTGTACCAGTCACTAATGGTGTTTTTTAAACACATAAGATTAGCTAAAGTGTAGGTTAGTAGGTAATTTCAGTTAGATAGTATGAGAAGAATAAAATGTTAAGTATTAAATTAACATCAAAGTTAAAGGCTCAATAGTAATTAGTTTCTTTTCAACAATCAGATTGTTATTAAAAATTTGAAATCAAATTTCTTATTAACTTCTAATCAAATTTTGATAAAAAAAGAAAACGAACAGTTGACAGAGATAATGTAAAAAAAAAAAAAAAATAGTAGCAAGAAAATATAATCAATAATTATCGCTGATGAACTTACTGCTCTTTCTAAATTTTTTTTCTTTTAATAACATATCTTATAAGAATTGAAACCAACATTAAGAAAAACTAAACAAATATTGAGTTATTAGTTCCAGTTGTTTCCAACCTCCTGCCAAGGTCAATTTTTACAATGAAATTAAAATTGTATTAGGATACAAATACTATTATACTGGATATTCATAATTCCTAAATGCCTAAACACTAAACCCTTTAGTATTCAACATTTTTCATATAGTCAAATGTATTTAAGAGAAAACATTTACATGTTTATTAAACATGCTGGCTTGAAAATTAAGAAAACCTTGTAAGTAAATATAAAGTAAGAAAAACTGAAAGTCAGAAAATTATTCAAAGTGTGTTCTTATAGGATTATTCTAGAAGTATGTAATGTTTTGATTTATATATTCTTTAAACAATTAGGAAAATTTAAATATTTCTCATAGAAAATTTTAAAGAAATAGGAATATTCCGGTTTCTCTTCTGATCAGATGATCTTAAAAATTCCTTCAATGACTTACAAATATTACTTGTAATTGATCTTGTCAAATGCCTGGTTGTAATTAATTCTTCAATAGACAATTATGGCAGACATGCTTTTAAACTTATTTTTTAACTTAATATTATGTATAAATTAAAGAACTGTTAGTCTTCATTCTAAAATTTCAGTGAATTATTTTTAAAAGCTTCAACAACTTATTTTGGAAAAAAGCACAAACATTATCCAACTAAGTTGCAAGCATGAAAGCATTTGAAAAAGATGTGACCTATGAGGTGACACTACAATGTATCAAGAAAAAAAAAATACAAAATAAATCTAATATGTTCATGAAACAATTTTCTTAATGACCACCAGAAGAGCTACTATGCTTTCATTCAGGTATTGTGTACATTGTAATAAGACTTGAAAAAAATAAAAAAGGCCACTTACCTGATTCCAAGAGGGTCAAACGTGGGTTGCTGAGATCAACAGGGATGAAATCACGCAGCCAAGTTATTTTTGGCTCTGGGATTCCAGTTGCGCCACATTGTAAGACTGTGTTTCTGTCTTTTTCAACAGCCTTCAGTGATGGATGTATGGTGATTCTTGGGTATCCTTCTGGTATTCCTGTAAAATTCAGGGGAAGTAGCATCAAATCAAAAAAACACATACATAAGTAATAATTGATAAAGTCTGTTTTTTCTTCTTAATTCACATTTGATGTGTAAGATATTACAGGTTAACATACTAGATCATGAACACTGATGGAAACAACAATTCTTAATTTAATTTCATAAAAAAAAAAAAAAAAAAATTATAGAGTTTATAGTAGATATTTTAAAATCATTATTATCGTGACTAGAAACCAAAAGTTAATCGATTGATTGCTCCAAATTTGAACATTAGGATAACAACAGTCCAGTATTGAATTGAGTTCTTGAATACTGTGCCATGCCAAGAAGGATTTCTCCAGAATGGAAAACAGCTAAAAAGGGAAATAAAGTGCAGGAGGTTAGATCTGAAAAAGAAAGGCATTCATTAAATATGTTCATCATAAAAAAATAATATCTTTTGTTTAATAAAAGTTTAATAGGACAAGTATAAATAAAACATTTACAACAAATTGATATAACGACAGGATAGTTGTTTAAAAATTCTAGAAAAAAAGAACATTGAATACTAGTCATTACACATATGTGCATCCAAACATCATGCAATGATAAAAAACAAATTAAAAGATACACACAAATTATCAAGCCTCATACATATGTGAATTTTATAAAAAAAAACCTTATTCTTTAATTTATTTGCATGTGTAGTAAAACAGCATTAAAGTAAAAATGATGCCTGATAATATTTAACAATATATGTAAAAAGATAATGCCATAGAAACTAGAGTAAATTTTCTAATGTTTTAATATTATAAGTAAAACAAAAACTGTATATAAACCAATTCTTTCAGTATTCCTTTTCTCCTTTTATATTTTTCTCTAATTATTAATTTACAGCAGTTAATGCTTGCTTCTTCAGAATAATATTATTACATATGTTAGTAATTTGTTCATACTGAAGTTAGATTTGTCTGCACTTTTAAAGAATCTATTGTCAACAAGATATTACGACAAGTACATTTATTGTTCTCTCTCCCTAATGTTTTTTTTTTCTCTCATATTCTCTAACACTCAGTAACTCCTTTCATCTAAGTGGCTTTATTGCCTTGCTTGGGGTGAAATGATTAAAAAAAACAAAGATTAAAAAAACAACAAAACTAAAGTTATCAAAGTGATCTGTAAATTATAATCTATTCATACCACTTAGATAGAGTGGGCATATAATGTGAAAACTTCCATCTTTAACTAATTGAATGAAGAAACGTTAACTTTCAAATAAGAATAATGCCAATTTCTGAATCTTTAAACAATGCACTAAAAATTAGCAGATATTTGAACAGCAAATGTGTGCCACTTAATCTGCTACAGAAATGTTGTTTATTAACTGATTAAATTATCAAAGCTTGCCAACATTGCTTTGAACAAATGATATTCCCTTTCACGCAGAAACATATATAGAAGAGAAATATAAAAGAAATATAAATATATATATATATATATATATATATATATATATATATATATATATATATATATACACACACACACACACACACACTACAGTTCAAAAGTTTGAAGCTGCCCCCAGAATTAGCATGGGATGTACTTGACAAAAGAGTGGGGGGGAAAAAAAAAAAGAAAAGAGCTCTTAAAGTTATTGAAAAAAAGAATGGAATCAATGATCGAACTTACACTTTTAGAAACGTTTGCAGTGAATGCTGCCATAATCATGGCTAAAGGAGGATATTTTGATGACAGCAAAATTTAATCATTAAATGCTCTTTTTCTTTATGTTATAATAAAATTTCTAATAAAAAAAATCATGTCTCACTTTTTTCTTTTTTTTAACTATGTATAATAAATTTCTCTTATTTAAAGTACAAAATAACTACTTTTTGGGTCAATTTAAAAAAAATTACCAAGGGTAGCCTCAAACTTTTGAACTGTAGTGTGTGTGTGTGTATAAGTTTTGTTAAAAACAACTGACAAGGTGTTATGTTTAAGTTTTTTTATATAATTTTTCATGTGTTCTTATTTTTTTTCTTTTCAGGACATAAATTATACAAAAATTGTCCAAATGTTTCATATATCCAAGTGCTTTCGACTATACTTTTAGCCATTATCAAGGATGAATTTTATTTTACTTTTAACTGAATATATAGATTGTTTTATATATATTCAGTTAAAAGTAAAATAAAATTCATCCTTGATAATGGCTAAAAGTATAGCCAAAAGCACTTAGGTATATAAAACATTTGGAAAATTTTTATATAATCTGTCCTGAAAAGAAAAAAATTATAACACATGAAAAATTATATAAAAAAAAAAACTTCATCACAGTACCTTGTCAGTCTATTTAACAAAACTTGCATAAAAGAAGGATTACTGCCCAAATACACAACTCTCTCTCTCTCTCTCTCTATATATATATATATATATGCACACACATTTGGTTTTGTGATTAAAATTTACTTTCATGAAGAATGAATATAAAATTAAAAGAGTAATATTTTTATCTTGAAAAGGTAAACAATTTCTACATATGAAAATCTATTTCTTTTAACAACAAATATAAAAGATACTTTCTAAATTGTTCAAAATATTCACATTAATAAATGAACTACAAAAATGCAGTCTATAAATATAAAATATCAAAATTCTGCCTTGTTGATAATGAATTATTTTTCCACCCTACAGCTCCTTTGCCCACATACACAACATTGCAAGCCTATAACTAGTTCCTTGAAAAATGTTCTGACACGCTACATTCCCTAGTTCCTTGAGTACAAACCTTTACAGCTGAAACCAGCCATGCTATGTACACTGGGATAAACCATCTTCATTCCTTTTTCATTACATTGTTAAGGAAATTTTATTTGGATGGTAGCTTTATGGAACAGACTCCCAATAGGAGGCACCCCCCCCCAACTACTACTATATTAAATTATTAGTCTAGGGTCAACCATTATCTATCATACATATCTACAATTATTATGTCCATAAAACAATCCCATAAGTAAGGTTTTACCTTGGGAGTTTACTCGGTCTTGTATTGAGTGAGGAGTGATGTAGTGAAAAAAAAAATTTCATTCAAATTATTACTAAGTTATTCTTTTTCTTTTTTTAAACAAAAAGTGCAATTTATTTTGTATTCATGCTTTTGCTTATAAAAACTGTTTGACTACCTTAAGGTTCATAATTCAAAAACATTAAAACAAATCATGAAAATCAATCTAAAATCATAATTAGCTTTAGTTGTGTATTTATAATAAACTTACTTTTAGTGTCATAAAAATATTAATATTTGAAAGTTGTGGTTGAAAATAATTTGATAATGCTGCAAATGTTTACATTTTCATCTACTTCAATCATTTTAATAACAATAAAAACAAATCTTCTAAAAAGTAAACTGAAAGGAATAAAAAAAAAAAACAACTATCAAAAGCAAAACTAAAATTACAGTTGAATTTTAATTGTTCATATTGAAATAAAAAATTAAAATTGTTGTTCAAGTAGTTTGCGTTTATGAAAATTCAAGCATACAGGATTATTGTGCATTGTATGTATTATATATAAATTTAATTTAATAAATGCTAGTAAATTTATTTATTTTTTTTTTTACAGATTCTGTTTCAATGAAGTTATGAAAAAGTAGAAGTGGATCTCTGGAGTAATACATTAGAAAATTCAGGTCAGTTTTAAACCCAAGTAAAAGCGGAATATTAAAGAATTTCAAAGAGCTGCTTTGTTTGTATTTTATAAAACTTCTGTCCCTGTAAATTTATTTCTATTTGAATTGTTTTAAAATATAATCATACAATGCAAAGATTTCTTAATGTATCATATATAGATATTTGTACACATTTCTTAAAAGAATTGGAAAACTATTTGAATACAATGTTCTCTTTGTGAAGAGTGGAATATAAAAATTATCTGCTAGAATGAATAAGGCTTTAAAAATTGCTACATCTTTTCCATTTGTGGTAAAAAAAATTTTTTTTAAATACAACTGTATATTCTACTGATGATAAAAAACATTTATAAAGAATAATAGATGTCACATTTAAAATTTAAAAAAATAATTATGTATGTTTTACTTATTTTATCCAAAAGTATCATTCTAAATTTTTGTAATTTGTAGCAATGAATCCAATGCATATGTTCAACAACTAAATAAGTGTGTGCATGCACGTGTGTTTAGTGAGCATTTTAGTCATATATGCATTAATATCAATATTTTTGAGAATTAAAAGTTAAATTTTTCTTAACAGAATATTAATATTAAATTGTCATTATATCATGATTTTTCTTTATGGGAGTTGCAATATTTAGCAACTAAGTTGGAAAAGGGGAAAATAAAATTAAATAGGAAGCACTCAATCTTAACTGGGAAAATGTCATTTCAACAATTGCTATGTTATCAATACTTGTAAAAATGTATAAAGTGAAAATGACATAAAATCCACAAGATAATAATGTTAATATAACAATATAACAGTTAAATTACAAAATGACAATAAAAATTTTCAAATTAAATTTTTTTAATATAGTTCTCAAATTTTCCCAAGAAAATATTTAACATTTGAGAAACAATTTATTAAATATACTGATGTCAAAATAAAGTTCAATTGAAAGGTACTGTGATATGGTTAAAGTATATTGTGAAATGTTATGAACAATAGATATTGAAAGATAAAATATAAATGATCAGAATATCATTACAGTGAGAAAACAAAAAACATCAAATCAATGCCATTAAATACAAAATGTATAACAACAAAGGTAAACCAGAATTTAAAAGTACAAAATTATGTTTAAGGATTTTAAGTGTTCACAAATAATTACAAGCTTGTTATACAGATAAAAGATGATATTTAATTGCATAACTGTTGAGTGCTACACCCAGCATTATATCTTTTGCTGAGAAATTCTTATAAACAAAATCAACCCAAGGAAAGAGAGAAAAGATAAAAAAAAAAAAAAAAAATGATGGCAGATGAAATTCTCAAGAGAAGA